CAGATTATACATAAAGTTATATAAATAAAGAAATATATATATATATAAATATAAATATAAATATTATATATATATAAATATATGTATGTATATGTATGTATGTGCGTATGGGTAAATTAATGCGCAACATCATCTGAAAGGACTTTATCTCGTGGGCAGGGCTCCAGAGTGTTCTAATTATTATTTTTATCTGTATCAGTATTTTCTGTATTTTTTTATCGACCAGACGAGATACGATGATTGTTAATATATTGTTCGAGCAATTAAACAGGTACCGTCCAAGAATAAACATTGAATTCTATCACTGTGCATTCCTTTTATCTATAAATAGGATTAATTGCTAAATTAGAATGGGGACCAATTAATAATATTCTTTATAATGAAAACAAATTTATTCAATATTGTAAATAATTTAACAAACATATAAAAAGGAAACTAATAATATCTTAACTTAATTATATGTTAATACGTAACTAAAAATGAAATAACAGTATCTTGTTACACGGAATATTAAGATTAAAGTACATAAAATATTAAATGCTCTTAGTTAAAAATACATTAATTTGAAAAAAACAGAACTGTACAGCTCTTTAATTAATACTTTTGAACCGAAGAGAAAGAAATTATATAGTTATAATTTTGTATGCAAATTTGATTAAAATGGCATCATGGGAATTTATGAAATTTTTTAATGCATTGTTATACCTCGACGTACAAACATTGACATTATGTTCTACCATTATACTACATATCAGTCTTTACTACCTACAACATAATTAATCCAATAAGATCACAAACGCTAAACTCGTACAATCGTCGAAACTGTTGAACTACTCAATATATCAAATATTTTTTAAAAATATGTTTGCGTTTGTAATAAATATAATACATTCTTCTATATTCTTATATTTACATTGCATTAATGATCATAAAATTAAGCTCTGCAAACAAGTAATAAATGCGACGTGAGAGACAGTAGAATTCCTTTGCATTCCTGAAAAATAACCTATACTATTTCCGCTCTAGTACCAAAGGATGAGTAACTGCGTCATGAAAAGAAAATTCCTCGATGAAAACTCGATTGCATGCAAATCATTCCTACGAGTATAAATTGTACAGTTTATAATTAATATTCCCAGTTTGTTGCAAAAGATTGGATAATTAGCGTTTTTAGAACCCACAGCTTTTATCTTTTTCAAGAACAAAATTCTAAAAAAAAAGAAAAAAGAAATAGTTGTTTAAAAATTAATAGGTTATATTACAATTTAGAAATGTCAGAAATAAGAATGATAATTCCTATAATAAATGGAATACTCTGAGATTGGATCTCAGCGCCTCAAGTAGAAGATTATGTAGAAGTATCGTTATTCATTCAAATTACTCTACTTTGGTCGCAGTTTGCTCATCGTATTGCACAGAAGGCACCATGGGTGGTTTGAACCCATACTCCATTTTTGATTGTCTGAAGCTACCGGTATTCCCCACGGCTTCTTGCCTCGTTCTTCTCAACGTTGCCTGAGCATTCGGTGACGAATACAAAGACTTAGATTGCACGCCAAGGGAGACCTGTACCTTCCTTGGCACAGGACCCACATACTCGTCCTTGATCTTGTCCTTCTCCGAGGTTCTTCCATAAGATACCAAATTACCATTATTGACCGTATAAGTTATCGAATGAGGATGCTGAATCCCATACGACCCAAATTTCTTCGGTAAAGTATGTATGGACGGTTGCCTAGTAGGAGGGCGATTCAAGGCCAAATATCCAGTTTCATAAAATTGAGCCGTGGAATTATAATAATTTTGCTCGTTATCAGACCCATAAAGCGGTTCCAACGGTATCTGAAAATTTGGTCTGATTCCTTGCTGATAATTATCATCAGACTGAATGTTGTAAATTGGACCAGACTTAATAAGTTTGGTATTTTCTATGGAATATGGTCTACTTTTCTCGATTTCCACTGTGTAGGGTCTAGGCAAATGTACCACCTTCTCTACAGGTACTGGCACAGGCTTTCCTACTACCTTCTCCACCGGAATTGGAATTGGCTGAGGGATTCTGAAATGAATTGGTAGAGGTATAATAAATCTCTGAATGGCGAATGGTACTTTCTTCTCAACCACCTTTTCCACGTGAACAGGATATGGTATTCGCACTTGCTTCTCTATGATTTTGTCTATCGGTACATGTACGGGAAATGGTTGAGGAATTGTTATTTGCTTTTCTATCAATTTCTCTACCGGAAACGGCATCTTCTTCTCTACCACTTCTACTGGATGAGGTGCGTGAATGGTCTTCTCCACGGAATACGATGGTGGTACCGACATCAGAAACCTCACTTCCGTTGGTGGTTCGTTTATAACCTTCGTTACTAACATTTGAGGTACTTCTTGAGTCCCTTGAAGGTTTTCTAGGTTTGTCAATCCTGGAAGGCTATCGATTCCTCTCGGTGGTTGCGCAATATTAGAAGTTGACCCTTTGGATAATTCGTAGTAACTCTGTTTGATACTTGCCTCAGGAATTTCTTGCACTCTGGGATGTTTAAGCACTGTTTGATCATACTGAGCACTATTCACTTGATCCTTAACTTCAACAATGGGTTTGGTCTCTATAGGCCGAGCCACAGGTAAGGTCTGTTCGGCTTGACTGCTACTTGTCGAATAGGTGACGTCGTTTTCGTTCACGTTATAGTCGTAAGGATTACGTTTCTGGCTATTAAGATTATTTTCATCGGAAATTTCGTTGCTCCTGTAAACGTTAACTTGATTCGATTTCTGATCTTTAAACTGACTTCTCGTTGGTTTCCTGTAGTCTTCCTGAAGACGCTGCTTTGTCAGAGGTTGAGCATGAGGAACGAACTCCACGGGGTAGTGAATCTCGTGCACAGGTGCTGTGTGAAATACCTCCACCGATTTTTGGATCTCAACCGTCTGGCTGGGCAAGTTTGTAGCCACCACTTCGTAAATCTGCTCCTGCTGTGACACTTGATCATCTTGGAAGCTCGAGTTCCTAGACTCCGGAGCATCGCTTTGAATCAGGCTCTCATTGTCGATGACAGTAGCGTGCGAAGTATCAGCCTCACCTTGGGGATATTTTGCAGAAGTGACTTGGTCGTTGACTAAATTTATGTCCTGTCCTGCGTTCATCAAGGCGACACCAACTTGGAGAGGATTCAGAACAACGGACGAGGCTGCCGGGTAGCTATTTTCTGAAGTTTTCTTTGCTACTTCCGCTTGTGTTCCAATTGGCTTCTTTTCACTGTCTTCGGAATGATCAGCGATGGTAATGTAGGAATATTTCTTCTGCTGAGGAAGATCAGGTACCACTATTGGTCCGGAAAATTTACCCAATGAAACCGATACTATAGGAGCTGAAGTGGATGAAAAGGTGTCCTTGACCGTGGATGGATTGTCGGTATAGTCTCCTTCAATTTCACCCTGCTTCAAGCCCCTCTGAGGTTCTGTGGTCCTTGTCAAAGCAAAAGGGGGTCGATCTTTCGCGAATACACTCAAATTACTTTCTGAAATGTTCAATTTTTTGGATACGTGAGAACGGAAGCTCTTCCTGTAGTGTTTCCTGTAATCTTCGGAAGAGGACGAGGCATCGGTAATCTGTTTTGGTCTGAATCGTGGAAAATTCTCATTGGTTTTTTGCCTAAATGCAGGTGCAGAACGAACTCGTTGTCCAAATTCCCCCGTGCTTTCGATATCGACGTTTTCTTGGGAAATTATCTGACTCAGGTCATTGAAACCATTTTCCTGGGGAGGATACTTGGCAGTTGCGCTCGGGTCTTTCACGATAATCTCCTGAGCAGGAATATATTTCACTGTCACTGTTTCGTTAGCCGCACTTTCGTCATTCCTCGTTGACCTCGAAAGGTTATCGAGTGACAAAGTATCTTCTGAAACGTTCTCTTTTTTTAGGGGTAGAACGTACGGTTGAACTACTTGCTTGGAAAATTGCTGTTTGGGTTCGTTCTGGAAAGACGAATATCAATAAATCATTAAACACAAAGCACGTCACGAGATGGATACATGTAATATTAGCCTTGGATTAGTACACCGAGGTCTTTCACAACGCCAGCAAAATTTTCTATGTAAATAATTATATAATGTAAGTTGGGTAAGTATCTGTCTAGTAACTTCTTGGGGATTATCAATCTTTCGATCTTCTAATTTCTATTAATTTTTAGATTTCAGGCAAGTATCATGATCGATTGTCTGTTGTTTGTCAAAAGAATAAGCGTGCATTCACGGATGAGTATTTATTTAAAAATGAACGAATGTATATACCTGAATAGCGTAATAATCATTCTCAGAGATAGATCTTTTTATGCTGCAGTGAAAGTGAGCGTTGGAGAATTTGTTGGAGATGGAAATACATGAAAGTGGCAATATATATAAACTTGGCATCCTATGAATTACCTACACAGAAGAAACCCACTTCCTCTATCCTGACTTGCTAAAAGTAGCCACGAGCAACTTGCATGTGTCTGTTACCAAGTTGGATGACGCAAACATTTTTCGATATGATTAGTCAACGCCAGTGGCATCGAAAGCGAATTACTTTCCAGTAATCAGGAAGATAAATCGCGGAAATCACCGTTCACGGAGCTTGCTCGAAAGACCACCGATCCTGCCATAAGTGCAGCTGCATAGACCTTCGATCCTCCAACTCGAGTTCTTTAATTGATACCAACCACTCCATGATTTTCGTCCCCTCCACTATGAAGTTTCATAGACAGTGCTTCTTCTTGGTCTTCCTCGACAGATTTCTCAGTCTGAGAGAAATTGGAAGTTCTTCCACGTTGATTCTGAGACTGATCCTCCACGTTTCTAGTCTCCTCTTTCCTCTGGTAATCGAGTATCTCTTGTTCGTAAACGTGTTCTAAAAACTTCTGTAAAATAAAATTGTTTATACGTTATCTTTGAACAAGGCGAATAGAGTATTGCACCTGTGCATAATGAAAAGTAGCATGTGTTATTTGTCTTAACTCTTTGGAGCACGCTGGGATTAAAAGTGTCCCACCTTTTTGATGCACCGTAATGTATGGTGGAACATTTTTAGTGCTGCCTCGAAATATTGCAATAGCTGCATGCGTGTAGGTTTATATTTCGTCTTATTTACGTAAAGCAGTTGATAATACCTTCGACAAATGTTATAAATGTATTCGCTTGCGTTGGCAACATTCAACATGCCAGTACAGATTTATCAATTGTTGCAAACGGAAGTTTTATTGCGACAATCTTTTTTTCCTGGTTTTATGTTTTTACATTATGTGATTCCTTTATTAGTAAAAAGGTACCAATTTTGTTTCATTTAAAACGCAATAAAATTTCTATGTAACATGGATCTATTTTATTAGTTAAGAGGAATGAAACCTTGAACTTTGAGACCGTGACCTGTCATTCGTAATCTGCAATCGTTCCAAACTTTTGTAGCCAGATTAACTTAAAATTAATTTTAAGCAAAGGCATTTTAAAGATGTAGTAATATATCGTATGATAGATTTAGCTAATTATAATTGTCACGATCACTATTGCTCGGTTTAAATTGAAAAAATTTTGCAGAATTTAACACTGAAACTTCAGGTCCTGAAGTTTTACGGTCTTCGAACACAGGATGCGATGAAACTGAATGCTAATAAGAATCGATGTTCAGAACAGGAAAGTGAAAATGTGCAACATGCACCGATTTTCCTTACAACCACAGACACATGTCTAAGTGAGACATGCACGTACACGATTATGCTTCGAATGGTGTAATAAAAATAAACGAGTATACATAATCGTGCTGCTATCTCGGTAGATGCCAACAGTAATTCTGTCAAAAGTGCATCTCCAGTAATTACGGAAAGAATTTATTAATGAATTCAGAAATTACAATGTTCTGGTCTTCATGATGCAAATGAAACGTGCTGTTCCTTTCCGCGGTGTTCGAAATGCGTTACGGTTCATAGCGATCTGTGAATCGTGCTCGTTATCGTGGTGAATATCAAATATTCCGGTTTTCGCTTGGAACAATGAAACGTGCTTTTTCTTTGTAACAATCTGAAATATGCTAATCTCCGTAAGATAAATGAAACGTGCTAATCTTTCTAAGAAAAATTAAATATGCTACTTTTCATGACGCACCGCAATAATATGCTAGGGCCCTAATTAACTTGTTTCAATTAAGATCGTGTTATTAGAGTTGATTCTATTTAACGATCAATGTAGTACATTTTGCAATACACATCTAAGCATGAAAGTATCCGAACACTTGTTTTTGTAGGTGAAATCAAATTGGATTAAAGAATTTAAAACAATGTGTAAGGGGAGGAGAAGAGAGGGCTGGGTTAAAATGAGTCTATCACTTGGTAGCCGAGTGTGCTTCATTCTGTTGGATATGATATTCGCACGCCGCTCTCATCTCTCACTTAAAACTTCCGCGGTTCGCTCCTCTTGGACCCCTTTTAACCCTTTTAACCCTTTCGCTTCGGCAGTTTAGTCCGCCGAAGCACCGTCACTGAACGGAAAGCGCCAGAAATATGCACAGTGCGCGTGGTTTCTAGATATACGTTTTCCCAGGTCTTAAATAACAACTGTGCTGAATAAAACAATCGTATATAGATGGCACTTGTATACGCATCATTTGGATTCCGGATATATGGGATGCCCCGTACCCACGAGTCGTCGCGTGGTCGCCATCTATATGCGGCGCACGTAAGTACCCACAGGTCATCTCGTGGATGCCGCCTATGAACGGCGCTCGAAGCGAAAGGGTTAAAGGTGGGTCCCTTTTGTTAATCCGTCGCGCAGATCAAGCGGATCGCCGCTTCGTTTTGAAACTCCGGTTATCATTGCTACGTGCTCGTCACTCACGCCGCCTTATCGGTAATACTCTTACACACGCATACTCTTACACACTCTTACAAATATGATATATATAACGAGAAACTGTCTAACACTGTTAACACTGTCTAATGAGAATTTTGTTCTGTAGTATCCATTGAGTGATTCTTGTAGAGTTTATCTATCTGAATAAGAGTCCGTAAATAAAATTGATTTATCACCCTCAGATTTTGGAAAATATGAGATTTATTAAAGAACTCACGATTTTCGGAAAAAATAAAATATTACATTGAAATTAAGAACGTTAGATGGTTCATTCTTGTGTTAAAAATTAGGTGCGATTATCACGAGTTTATCAATTTGTTATTAATAATTATTTGAAGGCGTAGGTATTTGGTAACAGCCATTGTCGTGATTGTTGGTTAAAATATTTAATTATGAGCAAAAATAGGGGTAAATTGTGAACATGGTTAAGGGTATTGTGTTTATAATGGATACATGAATATTTACAAATTAATTGCTTAAAAGATTGTAATTAGTGACAAACTATTAGTTTGTCCGACATCAATTCAAACATTCTGTAGAATAATTATTAATAATTAATTAAATAACAAGAAATTTGTTTTCAAAGTTATATTAGAAAGTTCTTTAAGGCTGTGTCTTTACGAAGTAATTATAAAAGTTCATAAATTAATCACAGAAATTGAGTAATTTGTTAATTTTTCACTGCCGAATTAATTTATTGTAATATATTACAAGTCATGAACAGAGTTAGTAACCAATTTAAATGAATCAATAAGATTCAAGCTACTGCGACCTGAGTTCAGTGTCATCTATGATTTTGGATCGGAAGCTTCGAAAAGTAACAGGAACATAGAATAGGCGAAGAGGTCGTCTGAAACCTCGCCACGTGATAGACAAGGACAGAAAACGTTTAAAAATGGACGGAACAGATTCGGCAGTGAAAAATTAACAAATTACGCAATTTCTACGATTAATTTATGAACTTTTATAATTATTTCGTAAAGGCACAGCCTTAAAGAACTTTCTAAAATAACTTTGAAAACAAATTTTTTGTTGTTTAATTAATTATGAGTAATTATTCCACGGAATGTTTGAATCGATGTCGTAGATACTAATAATTACTATCTTTTATACAATTAATCTGTGAATTACATTAATATATTACAAAAACAATATCCTTGGCCATGTTCACGTATCATTTTTATTCACATTTTTGCTCATAATCAATTATTTTAACGAATACTATAATAATACTATAATATATTAGAATATATAGGATATAATATAATATATAGAATACTATAATAATATTTTAACGAATACGACGCACATTGCTTCCAAATCGCGCACGCCTTCAAATAATTATTAATAGCAAATCAAATATCACTTGAACTTTTATTCCTATCTATCCTATTGAAGGAATTAGCGAGGTATCAACAGGTTGCATTAAGTGTATATTGAATTTATCTATTAACAGAATACTGTAGCAAATTCATGATAGATAAAGATCTTTTTGTAGAAATGCAAGAATACTGCGTAGAAAGTACGCTCGGCGGCTTATTTTAAAATTTTAATGAACACGAATAATTATAATTATAGAAATTGATAAACTCTGGATACTGGCACCTAACTTTTAATACAAGAATAAACCTTCTAACGTTCTTATTTTTTGTATAATCCTTTATTTTAGCCAAAAATCGTGAGCTTTTCAAGAAACATCATATTTTTCGAGATCTGAGGGTGATAAAGCAATTTTATTTACGAATTCGAATTCAGGCAAGCGAGCTTTGAGCTCAAAAGTTAAGCAAAGGATATTACAGATTTAAGAATAAATAAAAATTTGTTGGATATAGTAATTCAACGATATATATAGTGCAATATTTACAGGACTATTGTTCAATTATTGTTTATATTATTAACTATTGTTTTATATACAGTATACCCGTACGTATAACTGAAAGGGATCGTTCTATTCAGAGAGCAAAACACCTTTTTGAAAGTAAAGAACCTAGGTTAATCGATATCTCACTGTACCGTTGAATCATGACAAAAAAATATAGTTTAAAAATTAGAATATAATTCGAAGAAATGCTCGAAGATTAAGAGATAATTTTAAAAGATCGCAATACCGTTTAAAGCGATATTTTTAACTGTATTTAGATATCTTGCTTGATTGCACTGCAGTGAAAAAACAGCCAAAAGGAGCTTTAGTGTTCCGATCATAGGACTAATGCTCTATACTGTACAGACAGGCAGTACCAGTCATCAAAACATAAACCAGTGGTCGAAGACGAGTGTCTGACCCAATTTGTTCCAAGTAGAAGTAGAAAACAGATCATGAAGAAGCTCCAGAAATGAAACTCGCGGCTCTGGGTGGGCAAATAAGAGTAGAAAATCGTTGAATCCTGGTGAAACTCATGTGACCATTTAACATTTTATTATTAATTTGCGAGAATCCGTTGGATGATCAAATAGCAGATACTTTATTCGGTCAAATTAAAAATTTTGCCAATTCTTTTGAAAATATACAAATAAAATAAAAACAATTTCCTTAATAACTGGAATAACCAACGGGGAATCCCCCTGCCCAAAAAGTCCTTAAATATTAATAAATAAAATCCAGAATTTCCATATTTAATAAATCTAATTCTTCCTTGGAGACTTTAGAGACCGTTCTTAAGAGACCTTGTAAAATCTTTCCACAAAGATTTCAGAGATAATTTCTCCATTGGTCACTTAAGGCATCGCGATATTTGGGAACTGCAGTGGTTCGGAGAAGGGCAGAAGTTGCAGAAGTTCGGTAGAAATAACACAAATTTTGCTTAAGTGGAGTATCGTTGAACAGGAGGAGGTTGAAAATAACACAGCTGGCGAGGCGAGATGAGAGAAAGGTGGACGTTACGGTACCACTACCGGTCTTCCTTTCTCCAGTACCATTCGAGCGAGAAGAAAGGCGAAACGGGAAAAGATGCGGGCCACATTCTTGCAGCTCGCGCAAAAGAAAAACCAGTGAGAGTCGTGCAGCGGCTCGAGGTCTTATTAAAAGCAAATAGTTTTGGCCAGAATCATATTAAAAGTCACTGTCAAGAAATTATAGGGCTCCAATTTCAGTTATGTCATTCCACCTATCTCCTCCACTCTGCTACTCCCCTATACTGTCTTCCTAACTATGCTTCAGGATTCTTGGAATGTTCGTTTCTTACCACTGTACTCGTTCGATTAAATTTTGGAATGCTCAATGTTACCTGCATCGTTGAACTTGACATTTACGTCTGTTTCGTTTGTTTATGAAATTTGACACGTCTCGAAGGATACTCTAGAGAACTGGTCTGATAATTGCTGGAGATAACCACTGGAGAGATTTACGATGCAGCTTAAAGTTTTTTCTCCCCAAAAGGGGAATCCCCAAATGGAGTCACCGCTGTTTTCACTTGCTCTTGATTTTTCAGAATATTGAGAATGATCGGGAATAATTGAATGATGTTTTGTGAGATGAAACCGGGATCTGTAAAAGAGAAATCGCGGAAGGTTTTTGAAGAAGAAGAGATCGTGAAGGTGGATCTGTTCTTATTTGCATGTTTTGCGGTAGCTGAAATGATCCTATCACACAGTGAACTATTAAGAAAAAGATGTTCTGCAATTCGAGCTAGTAATTCAGATTTTAATCGAACCCCCTAAACCAAAGAAATTCTCTTTCATTTCGTGCAGAAAGAGAAATGCAAAATATTTGCAAATTAGAGAGCCTGTTGTTATTACGTTTCGATGTATATAAGATTGTTATATCGACTGAAACAATTTTTTGAAGCAAGCGACTGACAAAAGACAACACTTTCACTATTTTATGACTTCTCGAAAAAAGACAGAACTGGTAGAATGATCAATGTTTTTATCAAGAGCTGCGTGACTAGGGTGTCAATCTTAAAATACCAAATTTCTTACAGTAACTCGTTCTGGATAAAAATTCTTCGGGTATTTAAGAACTAGTGAAAGATCTCATTCACAATTGATTTCCTAGTAAAAAGTATTAGCCACTGCACTTGAGTGTTAGCCAAAGATTCCTCTAGGAACTAGATTTCTAGTGAAAAAGTTATTCAGGGATTTATTCTGTAAAGAAAAATTTGTTAGGAAGTTTGCTAACTAGGGAAAAATTTCTATTAAGCCTGAGTTACTAGTTACTAGTTACTTTTTCAAATATTGGAATCATCGGTAAGAAGATTCTTGACATGGTGAGCTGAGCTGTTCAAATTAGATCGGCAGTATGCATAAATTGGAGCAAAGAAGATGTAAACAAAGTTATGGGAGGATTTATTGCCTCATGAAAGAGGAGGTGGAGATGAGAAAGAGAAAGGGAACGAGCAGGATCGTTTACGTCGAATTTTTGACAGTAGGTGGGTCAACCCTGAACCAACTTTCATCCGAAAGTGCGTGGAGAAAGTATTCGCAATTTTTGTGCGAGGAAATTCTTTTAAATTCTTTTATACTTCGACGGGAAGCGCCATTATTTCTTACGCAGTGCTATAACGATTTTGGAATCTTAAAATTCTGTAGGATTGCTATTTCGATTCAAGAAAAGAGAAAGAAACGAACTGAAAATATGAGCGACAAATGTCATAGAATTTCTTGGGTGGAGTCTTCAAAGAATATTTTGCATTTCGCTCCGGGTATAATCAATGTTACCGATAATTGCGATTTCTAGCAATTAACAACTCACCAACATTCTTTTCCTTATGAATCCTTCTGGTTTGCAAACCCTAATTATAAGAGATTGCGCTTCGCATCGAGTATAAACCACTGCAAGTGACCTACAGAATAACATTTGAAGAGAAAGTAGCATAACTACGAAATAAACCTACCCCATCTCAGGAATTCGATACATGCCTAGAGATCAACATGATTAAGCAAAACAGTATTACTAAATATTAATATTTATTTATTAATAATTCCTAGGACACGGTGAAACCCGAATAACTCATTATGTAATCATTACGTAAAAAAGATCAAATTATTCGATAAAATGTAAATTATGAAAATGAAAAAGATAAATTACAGCATAATTCTATAACCAACTTACGAATAACGTAATTCGAGCTTAAAATACGTAACATTAATATTAATAATTTATCAATTACAAAGATAAATAAAATAGATCAGGTAAGGTTAAATCGTACAGAAAATTCCAATAGATGACACCAGATATAACAATTCTAGTTCAAAACCAATTAGAATGGACGCTCGAGACAATTGCACGAAGAAGTACATCTTCCTGAATAAGCTTGTTCATTTTAGACATATTTGTAATAACTAACGAAGAAACAAGCAGTCTATTAATTTCTCAAAGCATGTAATGACACGCTACTTGCCGGTGAACGTTCCTGCATAGAGGCACAGAGGAAAAGTGTAAGCTATACTTTGTTAGACGTACTTGCCGGAAGAGAATGAGACGCAAGTGAAATGACCTAGGCAGAATGCGAAGGTTAAGGACGACTTTCACCTAAAACTTGCAGATGAAGATCGGTTGGAAAGCCGTTCGTGTTCACGGTTAATAAGCAGGAGTAAAAACATTTAAGAAACGTTACTATGGCCGGATCAATCAAACTTGAACTCGTCCGAACATAACCTCCTGCTGCCACTTCCTAACTTTTACCAAACATAGTGTACTTTTCTTTAATACAACTGAAAACATAAAGATATAATTAGAATATAAATAAGAGAAGAAAGTAAGAAAGACTATAAAAAACACTCTCATTGTACCAGACCTCGTAAAATTTGTCCAAAGTTGCATCTTCAGAATTGCATCTTCGAATTTTCGTTATCAAAAAGCAAAATGGTAGAGTGCATAGCAGAGACACCTCTGCTGGCCCCACGAAAAGCTCGGAAAAATAAGTTTGCGAGAAATATCAAGCAATTCTGTAGATGGAAATTAATTGAAGAAGCCATCAAGATAGTTGTAGCAGCATGTTCAAGGCGGGTATCGTCGAGGCTGTACACGAAGTAGCACTCGAATGACGCTCGCAAGTAGATCGAGGTTAAAGATTTCTATGCCCGAAGGTTAAGTATGTCCCCGCATGTTGTCTATCAGTCCGCGGGGGTTACGCGTGAAAGGTTCTTCTCCTGATTTACGTAAGGTAACGAAACTTGTCCTGCATTGTTTGTCCCACGTTGAAAGTAACTTCCGCTCCCGGATTGGTTCACCGTTACATTCTCAAGGACAGGCGAATGGAGCTTCTCCAACTTGTGGAACTTGGGTTAGGTTAGGGTAACGCTAGTAGTGGAATGGAAGATATGTACACATATTAGTAAGGAACACGTTTGTTTTATTTTTTAGTTGGAACATGTCTCGATATAACATCAAAATACTTATAATATAACGCTAAATATACAAGGAAAAATAATATACAGGGTGTCCCAGTGAATGGTTCTAGCATGTGTGCATGTGAGAAAAAGATATTACATAAATAGAGATTTGTAAATGCTTTTCGTAAAGAATTATTTTAAAAAAAAGGAAAAATAAGTAAAGATTAATTGGTTTTCCATTTGATACGGTGTAAAAATGAATCGACGATATTTATATCAATTCCACTTTAGAATGTTGTCAGTTCTCGCGAATGTAATCTTGTAAGCCAGTTAGTTCTTACGAATGTAAGCATAATTGGATAAAAAGTTTAATCTACCGCATAACCGATTTCTTTGTTGATCTTTTTACACTTTAACGATTGTGTTATGAATTACTTATATTAATGCTTGATTTATTAGCCCTTGCCAAACCTTTTTCTTTAAAATTCCCTAAGTTTGAAGATCTTGTAACGTGATATTTGATACTCTTGCTAAATAATTATACCTATTCCATTTATCTATTGCCAAAATTAATGCTTATATTGATATTTCGTATTCTTGTCTTAAAATTTTAATAAAGCATTTATAAAGCTACATTTATGTAACATTTTTTGTTTAACCTGGGACATCCTATAAAGGTAACTTAGAAATTAGCTTTAATTTTAATCAATGTACCTATTAATCTTTCATCGTCGACGAGTCAATGCATGTATTTATTGATTTTTTACAAGAAAAAATTGTTCCTTATCGTGTAATTGTTTCCTCATGACCAATATGGTGTCAGGAAGTCGATAGACGATCACTTCCTTCATAATATATCATTAGAAGCAATGATATGCGATACATTAACGTCACAGCAAATCGAGACAAGGTAGAAACTTTCTAAGTAACGTTAAACGACAAGAATTATTAAAGAGGGGTGGAAAATGAGTGGTTTTGCGAATTCCTCGAGACAGACGTGCTAATACGGTCTCGTGACGCCATTTTTTCTGCTCACCGATTGTAACCTCTCTCTTAGATCGCACGGAACTGTTATCTAATCTAGGCATTTTCATGAATTGTTTTTAATGGTCATGATGATCAAATATGTCAAATATTCCAAACGAATAAATATGTAAATAAATAAATATTATAAATATTAAAAAAGAATATTATTCGAATTATATAACAAAATAAGTTGAACAATTTAACCGAAAAATGAAATAGAAACATTTGAATTTAATAATTAAATTTAACAGCACTTATCATTTCACTAGATACGAATGGAATAATTAAATTAAATTGAACGATTAATTTAAAAATTAAATAAAATTCAATTAAATTACGAAACTCGTAGAAAATAAAAAGACAGATCAAATTTAAGAAACAAAGAAGAAGGAATAATTTAATCGCAAAATATATAAAAATTGACTACTAGATTTGAAGAAGAGGGAAATACGAAACTCCTCGTTGTCTAATTTTGAACATTAAAACATAGCGAAGTGCACATAGATTTCAATGAGTAATCGGAACTGGGAAAATGAAACCACTTGGGAAAAGATTTTCAAATCGTTGGCGTATTATGATACAGGAAAGTTCGTCGAGTTTACCTTTTCGTTGCTCCAGTTTCCATGGGAATCAGATTCCAATGTCGCTGTCACGGTTGCTATCCATATAACCACAGCCCCCTATAAGTAGAAATAATTTGTTCCATCAGTTTTTCTTTTGCCGCTATCATATTACACAAAACGGGAAATAATAATAATGGTAATTAAAGAACCAAGTGCTATTAAATCACTATATCCTATCTTTTCCTACTCCAATGAAAAGATATGTTATACAGGATAATAATAAATAGAGAGAATGTATAAAATAGTAAAAGTATAAGTATCTTTTTATTAAATTGTACTTTATGTTTCCTATGTAAAGTATTAATTAAAATAAGGCTTGAATTTAGTATAACAAATTATAGTGATTCAATTTCCGTTTTATATTAAATTCATCGACTTTGTACTTAATAGCGTAGATTATGACAATTGCTACTTCCTACTCTTGAGGAATTAGTTTAAATTTAATAGACATGAAAGCAATTAGCTTCTACTAATAGTTAACAGAATAGGCAACGATATAGTCACTTAAAGTAGATATATCACTGAGAAGAATTATACTAATCATAATGAACAATGTAGTATATAATGAAATAAATATCAGTTTCCCAGTAATAGAAATAAAAATATTTTCGGTATGAGACTTGTTAACATAATAAATGCATTAGTATTACTTTATTATTCCGCATTTACTTTCAATTCTTCAGTAGAATTGCATTGCAGATTCAATTACTTTCTACCTGTTGCACATGTATTAACTGTAAATAATCACAGCGATCGTAATGTGTTTACAAATTATATAAGCATATGTTCAATTAAATTTGCAAATACGGCCATTTTTTAGCTGATAGCAAAAGCTAATAATTATCAAATTTTGTAATTTTATTTTCCACTTAAAAATTCGAACCTCTTCCTTTTGTTGAAGTCCTCATTACTACAGTCTTTATAACATTCGTTAGAAATTATTGTTAAAAAATATAAATAAATTTTTACATAAGAAAAATGAGAAAAGGCAATAATATTCAGGAGAAAACAAAGTACTTACGAAGTAACAGAGATTCATGTCTTTTCTACGTCGATTAATGACTCGCTGAACAGTAGTTCCTACGCGTACTGCCTTCCCTATACTTCCAGGATGTCTTCTCTATTCTCTTGTACGGCTGCCAATCCTCTGGAACCTCGATCTGATGCACGCACTCCGGAAAGAAACAGTGTACTACTTCGTCCCGACGCGATACACTTGACTTAACTGGTAGCTCCAGTTATCCCCACGCATCAAAGGAGCTCGAAGAGAGCTACGATCACCTTAAAGATCCCTTGATCAACTTGGGACGCACACTCATCATCACCGATATCTCGTCTAGTAGCGAAGAACACGATCCGAAGAGAAAAGAAAATAACCGATAGTTTATCAGAGTAAACTACATATAAGGAAAGAAAAATATAATGCATAGGATACAAATTACGTGCTCGATAAAAATGTAGCTGTAGTGCAAATAAATCGTTTTTATTGAAATTCATATATGTGACAAATAAATATTCCAAATAGTTATTCAAGCACGTGAGAATTAAATATATAGTCATTAAGGACATATATAGATATACGAGGTACAGTGTGGAATACCATCGCATAGAATATGATTACTTGGATATAACGGTATACTATGTAATAGAATAAAATACGATTACACGTTCATAATATTGTACTGTGTATTATTGCTTGAAGCGCCTTTATGTAGTTACACGATATATTACGATATAAAATATAGTCATATAGGATGTTATTATATGCTGTATATATAATCAGTCGAAATATTACGTAGTATATAGTTGCTTAAAATATCCCCAAATAATATATAGTTACACAAAATATCACTATACGGGAATAAATTACTTGGAACATGATTGTTTCTGCCTTTGAGATTCTTTGAGACTGTCAGGATTAAAAATTCCTCGCATATACATATATATATCTTCAAAATATATTCGATATCGTCCGTGGTTAGCGCGTTAAATGCTAAAGTCGAAATAGAAATAACAAAATGAAAGGTCGAGAAAGTGACATTGACAGAACTAGCAGATTTCTGATAATTTTGAGATTTTCCTTTCTTCTTTCCCCGTTTATTATTGCAATTAATACTCAATTGCTCGATCAAAACAAACGCACATAACCAATAAAGGGTCACGAAAGAAGCAGAAAATTTAAATATTTTCTTACTTCGCCAAATTTATCGTACTATTAACATAAAAAATTCCATTGAATAAATTTAAAGTAAGGAATAACTATTACGTATTCTAAGAAAATATTTATTCAATACTAACTAAAAACAAAACATGATAATTAAATTAAATGGTTAGACTACATTAATAGAACATCTTTTGACGAATGCACTAGAACGGAAATGAATTATGTTTTGAGATGTTTCCGTCCAATAACCATAGAACAGTGTAATTTATCACTGTAATAAATAGTTCCATCTTGACTATTCGACTTTACTTTTTACTTTCAACAACCTTTCACTGCTTCGCAGTTTCGTGTATTCTTTGTTTTTCTCATTAAAGCAAGTAAAAATTGCACTTAGTGATATTCGTTATCAAACTGCACTTTTACGAAATTAATAAAAGAGTTCTGAAAATAATAGAAAGTTTTAGTTTCATTATTTATTAGATCAGTGAGACAAATGATATAAAACATTGAAGATACAATAATTACAACGACAAAATATCATATTAGAAATGTTATAAGCATAAAATTACCTTTGGTATTATTGTATGCATTATTTTGTGTTTATTAATGCACATGTATATATCGTTAGAAACACAAACTAATTTTTAGACAAATAAAGTATTTTATAAGTCCAATCATCGTTAGTACGGTTTGAATACACTCCAAAACTATTGATAACACAATGTCATTAAATATGCTTTAAAATAGCATGAAATTTTTGCTATCGTTCTCTTTGATATTTTATAACAGCTTAATAGTTGGCATCTAATCATTTGCTACTAAATAATAAAAAATTGCAAAGATTTTTAAATTGAAACTTATGATCACTGATTTATAATCAGCTATTGACATATTTCAAAGGAACTATTTTCAATTTACATTGCTATTTGTCATTTTGTGTAGCTAACCATGTCGATAATGTAGAACCTTACAAAAATGAGAGATATTGTATCAAATTTATATTCTTGTTTTATTTTTATTTTTATTCTATTTGATATTAAAACCTTTCTTGCAAACTCGTTTTCGTGTAAATTTAAATTTTATTATGCATTAAAATTGAAATAAAATTATATTATCGATCTATCGATGTTGCAGATTTCGAATTGTCGAAAAACAAAGTGTTAGATTGTCTAGTTTGTCAATATAGTCACTGTCGGGAGCGGTTACTCGAATTGGTTGAATTTAGTGGAATAAACTGTTTCGAAACACGGAGGGATCAGTTTGCGTATTAAAATTGACTCTGTTTTTTTTCTCTAAAAATAAAGTTTGGAAGGAAAGGGCAACACGATGTGATTTAACAAGGAAACCTACAGTTTAAATTGTTATACTGTTTTACGGAAATCAAGTGAATCGAATCATTATTACATATTTCAATGTATTTTGTCAATATGTTACGAATGCGTAGGTAAGGTTATCTATCATTTGACTTTTTCTATATTATTTAAACAAACTGTAAACATTTAATGTCTAGCCAAATCTCGCAGTATAATCTTAGGTGCTTTCGTTTTTTTCTTTCATTTTTTTTGCGATATTGATTACCCTTCTCTTTCGCGATGTTGAGTGAACATAATGAGGAGTAAAATGCCACCATTTCGAAGGAAAAAATCTGGAAAATCTTTCCCCGTTAAAGTCTGTACGCTAGACGCTGAACTGGAATTCAGTTTGGAGGTTAGTTTCTTCTCGCATCGTTTAGGAACAGTACTACTGTCAAACATTATGTAAACATCTATTTTAAACGGTTTATATTTATAGTGGAGATCAACAGGAAGAGATCTCTTTGATTTAGTCTGTCGTACAATAGGATTAAGAGAAACATGGTATTTTGGACTTCAGTATGAAGATGCTAAAGGATTTATATCTTGGTTAAAATTGGACAAAAAAGGTAAATCATTAAATTCACTTGCTGAGACTTGTTTTCTTTGTATATCATTAATATCAAATTTACATTTTAGTACAAGATCAGTGTATTTCTCAACAACCTACAACTCCTTTCATGTTTTTGGCAAAGTTCTATCCAGAGGATGTTGCCGAGGAATTGGTACAGGAAGTAACCCAGCACTTGTTTTTTCTACAAGTGAAGCAGGCTATCCTTTCCATGGACATTTATTGTCCACCAGAAGCATCTGTATTGTTAGCTTCTTATGCAGTTCAAGCAAAGGTAATTACAGCATTATTTTCTTAAAGTAGCATATTTTTTTGTCTATAATAACCTGTCTACTTTAAATGTTTTAGTATGGAGACTATGATGAAGTTTCATATCGTCCAGGAATGCTTGCTAGTGAGGACTTATTACCACAAAGGGTTATTGATCAATATCAAATGACACCTGAAATGTGGGAGGACAGGATAAAAATTTGGTATGCTGATCATCGTGGGATGTCCAGAGATGAAGCAGAAATGGAATATCTAAAAATTGCTCAAGATCTTGATATGTATGGTGTAAATTATTTTCCTATTAGTGTAAGTATTCCATGCACACATAAATTTCTTATATTATCAAAGTATTCTAATTAAATGACATAAATTACTAGAATAAAAAAGAAACTGACCTTTGGTTGGGAGTCACAGCCCTGGGATTGAACATTTATGAAAAGGAAAACAAGCTGGCACCAAAAACGACGTTTACGTGGTCAGAGATACGACACATCAGTTTTGATGACAAGAAGTTCGTAATAAAACCAGTGGAGAAAACATCGCCGAACTTCGTGTTCTTCTCGCAGAAAGTTCGGATGAATAAATTGGTAAAAAAACAGACAAATGTTGGCAGCTGGGTGAAGGGTCTGATAGCTTTAGGATTCGACGAACAAAACAATGACAAAGCTGCTCACATATTATTTGTTAAGATCCTGGACCTGTGTATCGGCAACCACGATCTATTTATGAGAAGACGCAAGCCTGATTCCATGGAGGTACAGCAGATGAAAGCACAGGCCAAAGAGGAAAAGTCAAGGTAAGTTTATATATATATATGTGTGTGTATATATGTATATATATATGTATATATATGTATATGTATGTATATATATGTATATATATGTATATGTATGAGTGAGTGAATGAGTGAGCGTGCGCGCGCGCGCGCGCGTATGAGTATTATACACGCGCGGACACACATATATATGTATGTGTGCCTGTGCCTGTGCGTATGCATCTTTCCTTAAAATTACAATGTAATATTAAATATTATTTTCTCTATAAATTAAATGCTTGTACTTTAACTACAGCTTGTAAGACCAAATGGTTTATTAACATTTAAAAATAAATGAATAAAAAAAATATATTGTTGTAATAAATTATAAAAATTTTATCTAATAATATATATCAATACTAATATTAATAGTACATATTAATTTCTTAAAAATCTTATAAGTGCATTTATATTTATTTTATTTTAATAGTAATCTTAATTGATCTTTATTTCTCTTTCTTTGCATTTTGTTATTTTACATATTTTATAGGAACCAAAGTCTAAAAATAATCAAATAAATATTTAACCAGGTTAGTATACTTATTTAAATACTCAAAACTGGACCTCTTTACATCAAGGATATTATGTAAAATGTACTTTTTCACAAAGACAGTTTTAATAGATAAGTAATTATTACTATATTAATTATTACTATATTAACCACTTTATTTCTTTTATAATAATGAATGATTTTCTTTATGTAATAATGTCATTTTATTAGGAGACAAATTGAAAGAAATAAACTGGCACGAGAAAAACAACTCCGAGAAGCAGCAGAAAGAGAAAAAGCTGCTATGGAACAACGTCTCCTACAATATCAGGAAGAAATTCGTTTAGCAAATGAAGCACTTGTAAGAATAATACACATACTGAAATTTCGAATTTCTAGTATTTAAAAACTGTCACAAACAAATATTAAATAATTATAGAGGAGATCCGAAGAAACTGCAGACCTACTAGCTGAGAAGAGCCGTGTAGCTGAAGAAGAAGCAATGTTATTAAGTCAGAAAGCTTCAGAGGCGGAACAAGAGATTACGCGTATACGATTGAACAATATGAAAACCGAGGAGGAGAAGGTTCATCTGGAACGAAAAACAAGGGAAGCCGAATTACTAACAGAGAGGCTAGTACAAGAATCAGAACGAAGAGCTGCAGAAGCAGAAAAATTAAAGGATGAACTTTTACGTGCACGTATTGCCGAAAAAGAAGCGAAAGAGAAGTTGTTAGAATTCCTCAGCAGAAATGCTTATACTGCTACTATAGCTGTAAGTCTCAAAATCACAATAATAATTAAATTTAATCTATACAATTAGAATTAAATACAATTAATATTTGTGTTCTTTTCTTAGCCTGTGCCAAATCTATTTCCATCGACACAAGTTCTTCCATCAGATTTGCAAGCAGATCTTCAAACACTGCAATTAGACACAGAACCTCTGCCAGCCGATCTAACTTCCTATGATCTTATTGCTGATGGAGACGTCGATCAACTTTCTCTGGAAATTGAGAAAGAAAGAGTTGACTACTGGGAGAAAAGCAAGCATTTACAAGAGCAGCTAAGAGAATTGCGTACAGAAATTGAGGTTATGAAGGTCGGAGAAAAACAGTGCGAATTAGACCAGTTACATGAAGAACAAGTGCGACTCGGTGAGAACAAGTATAGTACGTTAAAAAAAGTGAAGTCTGGGTCCACTAAGGCCAGAGTTGCGTTTTTTGAAGAGTTGTAGTTGATGTGTTCTTAAAGGATTGAAAAATTAATTAACATTTTACCAAGAAGAGGTGAAATAAATAGGCGATTGGGTATGAAAGAATCTCGTAGACATGTACGTATATATACGTTCTAAAATACTAAAATGTATGCTTTTTCTTGTATTTTAGTGACAGTTCGATTTACCATAATATTCACGATATCAATATAATTAGTAAATCGTACTTAAAGTGGAGTAAAATTGTCCCTCTTGCTTGAATTTCCATTTGTTTCCATCCTATGTATCTTTGCCTATTTTTTCGTTTTAATTTTGAATTTCTAATGAACACCACAATTAGTGGAGTTTTGCACGAAGTATATATATATAGAAATCAAAATTATTAATAGAATGACTAGATATTAATAATTCTGTAAAAATAAATAATTTCCAAAATCGTATTCCTTTTTAAAGCTATGGTATATATTATATTGATTAGATTTCAGTGTTCAGAAAATATATATTTCTTAATGCTTTGTCAAATTTTATTACAATTATGCCGTTTCAGTTATAGGAAACTAGTAATACTGCAATGCATGCATAGATATTATCACTGTTACATATGTCAATACTCTTAAACATGAAATGATCAAATGTGCCTGTAAAATATCATATCGTGTATTTTTTATCACACGATTGCAAAAAAGTTTATTGAAAAAGAAAAACCTTGAAGCTGCAGTCTAGTCAAACAACTTGTAAAAGAGAACTAGCTAATAACCAGATTTTCTCCATTGGTAAAGATATAAAAGACAATAGGTATGATTAAGATTTGAAAACATGTTTTCATGCTCGATCGCTATTAGACTGTAACTCTGCAAATGTCTTTAATAATCTACTTAATTTAAATAGTCTGAAACGCAACTTCGGTGAACAGAAAATGTGATTTTTTAAGAAATTGCAAAAGTAAAGTAAAAATTTCAACGGAATATCAAATATAATTTAAAAAGTCTGACAAAGATAAAAAAAAATGTACTCATGCATTGGTAGGCTTTAAAGGCTTATTTCTCCAAAATAAAGATTTAAATTAACAAAGTAAAAACTTTTTACAAATACTACATTGCAGTTAAATAGCTAAAACAGTCAAATAAAATACACAAATTAATAAATGTAAAAATTCAACCAATGTATAAGTACACATATATATATATATACACATATATATAGCGACATTCTTTTTTTAAGATAATCTATATATAGATGTAAAGCAAATCATTGTTATTGATTTTTATGCCATGAACTGTAACTAACATATAATTGTTATATAGTTAGTTTGATTAGACTAGAGCGTTAGAATCTTTGTGTATTAATTGTGGCCTTTGACAAAAAGAATGTTCCTATCAACCTAGTAGAAAAATCAGTGTTCAAGTATCCTACTCAGTTAAGTAGGGCTTTCCAAGTATTTTAAAATGTAACATATCTATCAATTATAGTATAGAGACAAATGTATATGATACTTTTTAAAAAGAAGGATTTTAATTTTTATATGAAGTACTGTATATGTTTTATAATCCTATTTCCCTAATACTTCCTTCATTACTTTATAACATAAAATAAGTACGGTGCAGTAAATTAAACCTTCATGAGTATTTATATAAATTTAACAAATAAAAGAATCGAAATTTTTTTACTTTTTGTTTGCTTGAAAATTATATTATATAATTTTTCTTGCAAAACGTGCCATAATTATATACGAATGTTTAAAAAAAAATCAAAAAACATTCAGCTTGATATCTATAACCAAAATACCTTATACATTGACAATAACTTTATGCAACTACTCGAACACTGATTACTTATTAATACATGAAGGGCAAATACTTTTATATGATACTTTTAAATAACGTTTTTATATTTTGCGTATTATTTTTATTCTTAGATTCTATACAGAATGTGAACATTCAGTATTGATACATATTACATTCTTTAAGATATTTTACCAAAAGTTTGGTGCGAATGTTCAATTGAATGGAATTTTCAGCATCATTGTTGTGATTCAAGTACATGAGTGTATTGGATGCTAATTGAAAATTCCTTCAACTAAAATCAGTATTTCTTGTACAATGTAAAGGAATGTACCTGTAAATATTATTCACAATTCACAAACTATCATTAACACTGAAAATCATGTAAATTTTCATCATATTCATGTTGATTTTTTTTTCTTTATATGATAATCATAGTAAAAGATAATTTATAAATAACAACTTTTTATTTACATATACAACTTTTGTAATAAAATATACACATTCTTGTTTAATCTAAATACAAGCGTATCAAGTCATCTTCTTTGGCAGGATATTTTGTCACTGGACATTTTCTATTTGTGCGTATCACAGGCAGAATGCATTGATAACAGAATACGTAACTGTAAAATAAAGTATTTATAAATTGTAATTCAATTGAAATTTCTTATTTTTGTAATATTATTTTCCACAATACACATACCCAGATACTGAAAGTACTGTATGTATTCTGAGTGCTTTATGACAAATTGGACATATGCCTTTGTATTGTTTTGCTATTTCTGGAATCTAAAATAAATAAAAAAAAAATATTTTGAATCATATGAAGGAAACTTCATTACATTGCTATAAATATTATAAGTTTCTTATTTTCTTACCTTTGGCGGTGGTGGAATAGGTAATGACAATAAATTAACTAAATAATGTTCTTGAGTCCACCAGGATAAGAATTGAAGGAAAAATGCGGCAAATTCAAGGGATGCAGTCACCATTCTCTGGAATATATCTATACCATCGCTAACTCCAAAGGAATTTACTTTAATTTTTTTTAGTAAACTAGAAATGCTAATTATTGGTTCTGGTTCTGTATATGTTAAAGTGATAGATAAAAGTCTCAAAAGTGGAGAAGTATATGCTGATTTTCCAGAAATGTAAAGTATATAATTATATAACACCATGAATTCATATATTGTGAAAATTATCATATTCCCTTTAATAATGCAATTATGATACAATTGTTGCCATTTCTGTAATAAAAAATAAGTTTTAAGATTATTTAGAAAACAGATATATATATATGAATTAAAATTAAGCATATTAATAATTACTGATTGTGGAATACAGCCATCTATATCTTCGAATTCATACTTTTGGCTTAACTGAGACAGCTTACTTTTTATGTAAGGAAACAAAAGAGATAACATCAAAGAAAGATTTCTTTGCTTGTTTGATAAACTGCATTTAACTTTTGAATCTATTATAGTTATGCGCTTTAGACCATAAAATGCTTCAGAAAATGAAGCAGCTAAAATTAATATATGTTTCTAAATAAGTATCTTTGAACTTTTCAAGTTTGTATAGATCTTAATAAAAATTAAGTACTTACAATATTTGTTAAAATAATGGCATTGGAGAAATGTATTAAATATTAAATAGCCTTCATCTGTCCATCTAAGAAGATGTCCATATCTTTCGATATTAAATGATGCAATAAACTAAAATTTTGTAACATTATTTACAAAATTGAATATTTTTAGTTACAAAAATACAAATTGCAATTAATAAAATTTGAATTTTATAATACATAAAAAATAAATTTCTAATATAAAAGTACTATAGAATTTCTAATATAAAAAATGTGTATTAATTCATTGTTGAAAGTTTATAGTTCCGCATCAAAATTAAATTTCTTAATCGGATTTCCGGTTTATCGATTTCAAGAAACGTAATAATATCTACTACTAAAGTAATCGACTGATACTTCATTCTTAACCAAAATGTAACAAAAATATACAGTATTTTTTTAACAATAGATTATTATATTAAAACAAAAGACTATCATATAAAATACTATTTTTAAAAATAGGTCATACATCAACAAATCTCGAGTCATAAAAAACATAACCTACCGATAGAAGTTTTTTAAAAGCTGGTTCGACAGTAGATGCAAATGATTCTTGTGCTATAACCTCGAAAATAGAAGGTTTTATAAATGTTGTTCCAGTTAAATGCGCTCCTTTTTCAGCCATTTTCGATTTTTAATAATCTGTACTAATTTGTTATGTATACAATGACAACTTATGTCAATTTTATAAAAAAATCTTAAATATATAAAAATACACAATAAATTGCTAAAAAATTCCAATCAATTGAAGTATTATCATTTTACAGTTACTATACAAACAATTTTGACGCAGTATAACCAAGATAAAATATAATTTAGCAATTGATTATTAATCATAATTAATATTTATTTCATCAATTCGAAATATATTACAAATGTAAAATGTGATTTATAAAGAAAATAAATACTTGTGTATGCATAAGTATGATATTATATATATTAATGTGTATTTATATAAAATTTCCATACTGAGCCCTCTAACGGAATGAATTGAAAGTATCAATAATGACTAGATGAGTTTATATCTGCAGCTGCTATCTGAATTATTATTGAATAACTGAATTACTTAATAAGAAAAATATTTAGTTTCATATTAAAATGATTTATATATTTTGTTATGTATATTTCATTTCTTATATATATGGTTCATATACATGTAACTAGACACTTGCGATAGTGCTGCTGTTGGTAAAGAAAGATTGTATGACGAGTTAATTTATCATTTTTGTATCAGTTTGTTAAACATAAAGTTTCAAACAAAAACATTTTCTTTAATAAATTTTTGAAGATAAAATTACTTTTGCTGTATGAATTAGGTAACGTTAACTACATATTTCATACAGTATCCAACCAGCTGATCGAAGCGTTTATTACCCATACAACTTATAGATGTTTCATAACCTAATAGCTCATGACATTTTAGAATGGTATATGTATAACAATCTTAAGTTAGAAAATTTAAATTGAAAGAAGATAAAATTTTTCATATAAAGTACGAAAATGTCTACCAAACTCAAAATGCGAGGTTTAATATGAAAGAAAGGGTTTAGGTTATCAGAAAATATAAAACTACGATTCAAAATATCAAGAAAAGCCATTAAAGATGAATCTCTTAGTAAAATAATAGCTGATTTTTCGGAAGAATCTGTGTAACATTGAATTTACAATCATGTCTGGCAAAGGGAAACAAAGTTCTAAAAAAGCAGTTGTTAAAGTGCGAGAAAGTGGAAAGACTATACAATCTTCTGTACTTAATTCAGATACAAGTTCAGAGAGTACAGAGACCACAATGTCTCTACCCATTTTAAAAATTGCTGATAATAGTCGCCTTCTTCCAAGATATAGTAGCATTCTACAACGTAACGTAGAAGAAGGTGTAGGTATGGAAGATCTTGATACATTGCAGTTAGAATTAGAAATGCTCCTCTCTTCAGTAGTTGTACGACATCGCATGCTCCAAGAAGAGATAGCTAATTTATCCTCAGCAGAGGAACGTAGAGACAAAAGATCTAAAAGCGGAAAAGGTCTTTCCCTTTTAGATAAAAGAGTTAGAGAAGAAAAATTCAAACCAAAAGAACTTAGTACTAAAACACAATCTCCTCTCCCAGCAAAACTGTTTAAGCAAAAGGCTGTTACTAGCTTGAATTCTCAAGTCATTCCAAATGTTCATGAAATTTCAAGAATTGAAGGTTCTAAATCTGAATCGCCAAAGTTGCTCTTACCGAAAAATGACACACCTAATAAATTCTGGGCATCTGTCGATCCATACTGTACAGACATTATGTCTGATGATATTAAATTGTTAGAAGAATTAATCTCTACTCATAGCGATATTAGTGACTTTAAAAAAATCCCACCATTAGGTCGTCATTATAGTTTGATGTGGGCACATAATGATTTGTTGCAAGAAGAGGATGCAGCTAATCCAAACAGAGATAAGAAAAAGAATCGTTCAGATGTATCTCTGTTGGTTGGAAAAAATGACAAAAAGGCACATAGTATAGCAGGGCCTTTAACCCAAAGATTGGTTTCTGCTTTACTAGAAGAAAATGTATATGTTGCAAATAATAACACAGACAACAAACTCTTTAGGGACAGTGATCCTCCTGTTTTAAGAGATCTCACTATTCAGAATTCCATTAATTTAGAATTAAGGATGCACAAAGAACTGGTTGAACAAGGAATTTTAGAACCAGATGCACAAAAGAAAAATCAAGAAGATGACGAAATTTTGACTGAGATAAAACGATGTCAACAAGAACTTACTGCGCTTTCTAATCACAATGTAACACAATTAAAAAGATTATTGAATTTAGCCCAGGAAGAAAGTAAGCGCCAAGCACTGAAAAGAAAAATTAATACAGCAGATACCGAAGTAATAGAACATTATAAAAAACTTATGCTAGCAAAACAGAGAAAAGTACCCTTAACTAAAAAAGAACAAGAAAAAGCATGGTCATGTCTTCGAGAAAGAGAAAATCTCTTAGACCAGCTGAACATGTTACCACACAATAATATAGGAGAATCTATAGGTTTCGGCACTAATACGAACTAAATGGAATTTTTTACTGTATTGTACAATATCATGATAAAATTATGTATAAAAATTTAATATCAATCTAATTTTTAAATTGAAAAGTGTATAATTTATTCTAAAATATTACCATTAAATTACTAATTTTTATTTCAATAATTAAAAAATTTTTAATTATTGTGTTTGTAAATTTTGTCACAGATAAGACTACATACCATTTGTAATTTTATGCTAAATTGAAAATATTGAAATTGACATCAGTTGAAAATTCATTGAAATCTGTTTTATATTTTGTCTGTAATTTTTGAGAATCAACTGTAAGTGCTTAAATTGATATAAAAAATGATAAACAAATTCATGAATTTTCAATTATTATTAATATATAATATACATACTGAATGAAAAAATGGAATTATTAAAATCAATTACGTAATTTTATTCAAACAACTATTACAAAATTATAATTCTAAGCTGTGTTGAAGTGAGATTTAATAAATGCACAAACTTTAAAATTAATATTTATTAATGTATTTTGATTATTATGATCTAGGGAAAAGGTTGGTCAAAGAGATTCATTCCAAGATTGATTAATAATTTCACGACAAAAGTGTTTATTCGATATCACTATACAGCTTTCTTTGTCCAGTTATATTAACGACGCACGCGATGGCACAACAATAATGAACCATGGCGGGGTAACAAAAATGTTCGATATATTCTATTCCTTACTATTTGATAATATTAAAAGTGATGATGATATATATTTGTGTGTGTGTGTGTGTGTGTGTGGTTGTGTATAGCATGGGTTTTGGAGGCAGAGCTGTTAAATCTTTTTACTTTTTTTTCCTTTAATAAATTTTCATTAACGTTCTTATTCATTTTTTATTACACTGAAATACATAATTGTAATAATGAGTTTTTATGCTATATGATATACAGTAAACCATGAAACAATTACAAATCAGTTCGAAAAGCCCTGAAGGGGTGAGGGACGGTTCGATCGATGATCCAAACATACGTGTACAGCCCCCATTTGTCGTTCATTGTCGTACCGTCGCATACCCCGTCGAACCGGATATTCGAGCATCCCTAATGATTTCATGGCATCCCGTGCACCAAAAACAACTACCGCTGCTTCCCTCGCGGGAATCAAAGGAGGCTGCTTTGGAAATGATGCACTAAAACTAGTAGGTTTGTGTTTTTATGTGATTTCAATGATTTAAAACGCGAATAAGAGCAAGAAAGCCATCATAAGGCAAAAGAGACCCATGGCCTCAGACAGAGCAAAGCCTAAGATAGCATATGAAAATAACTGCTGTTTGAGAGAAGGATTCCTGGCATAGCCAATGATTAAAGAACCAAACACTGAACCAATTCCAGCACCTGAAATCATAATATTGCTTTTAAGTCTTTATTTTATAATCATTCAAGGAAAATTAGCTTCAATATGATATATAACTTTACTACTATAAGATAATTCTTTTCAAGGAATTGGGATCAAAAGGCAAACAGTATAAGGAATGCTATCATCAGACAAAGGAGACCCATTGCTTCTGATAACATGAAACCTAAGATGGCATAACTAAAAACTTGCTCTTTTAAAGATGGATTTCAGGTATAACCAATTATTAAAGATCCAAAAATCAAACCATTACCTACCCCTGGAATATAAATTTTGTATTATTTTCTAGTAAAAGAAATGAATACTAGAATAAGAATAAGATTAAAACTCCTATCATTGTTGACAACAAGAAATATATACACACCTGATCCAGCAACACCAACAGTGGCAGCACCAGCACCGATAAACTTTGCAGCAGTGTCAATGTCACGACTAATTGTTGAAGTTTGAAAACTACGTATGATTGAAGATTGTACCAATGGAGACTATAAAATAATTATTTACAAAATTAGAAAAAGAATTATGCAGTACAAAAAACAAAAAGAAAGAGGAGAATATTTGATATTTGAAAATTTAAAAAAATAAAAAGCATTTAGATTTGATATAAAAGGAACCACATTCTATAATAATTTCAGTCTTATATTATATAAAGTTGACCTATTACCTATCAAATAACATGACTTATATAACCTTTGTCTTCATTAGTTTTATATGTTTTGACATAACAAAGGGCAATAAAAATGTTATTATTGTGTTCACAGTTATAACTGATTTATTCTATTAACAAAAAAATATCAGATATTCTTTGCTTTCTTTTCATTATTTGTGTTAAAACTTTTAAACAAAATAGTTAAATCAATTGATAACAAGAATATAATTTTCATAAAGATAATTATTTTCTTCATAATAGACTCTATTTTTATTTAAATTCATATTTCCCAGAACAAAACTTTAAATTGTAATACAATTTTATTCAAAAATTAAACATAGATGATTAAAGTTGAAATATTACACATATTATTGCAAATCGACAAATTTATTTTAGAACTCTTTCATTTTTCCCTAAAAAAACTTTAAATTATGAAAATAAAATCGCTTATATAACTTCGTAATGGGGTGAGGTTATGCAATGCAGAAAATATGAGTTACTTACACTACTGACTGGATTTTGCACTTGGTTCTGCTGTATAGATGGGTTGTGGCTAACAATGGCACTACTCAATGGCCGGATAAAGTTCTTAGTTCCAGAAACCAACTGAAAATAAAATAAGTTATTCAAAGATTATATAATAATATGAAAATCTGAAAACGATAGAAACAGAAAACTACTCACGGTCGATCTCGCGACGGGTACGATGAATCTAGTGCAAGCATACATGATGGCAGTTGAAGTTACGTAGTCGCTTAAGCGAGTATCTGAAATGACAGATAATATTTCTGAATGTGGAAATAAGTTTCAATGAGAGGCGCGTGCTAATCCGGCGAATAACGACTCACTAATCACGATTTGGGTAGCGTAGTATTACGTAACGTTTCTGATGGAATCGTTATGCGAGATTCAGGTGGTGCAGAGTCAAAATTAACTTATAGTATAATACAAATATTTTCGGTTTTTATTCTTATACAGGCAGGTCAAAACTACGGAATAGTAAATGGCTGATAATAAATTACAAAATGGCTACGCCTCATGTTCTGCCATCGACTGACATAATTAACTTTTCTTTCACGATTATCTAAGAATTCGCAATTGTCTCCTCTTAACGATAGTTCAAATAAAACTGATACTGAAAAGATGGTATATGGGAAATTTAGAACGTTCCTTTTATTTTACATGATTTTCTATTACTATTTGGTCACACTTACCAGAATATAGAGTCAAAGAGGCGGTAAGAAGACCCGGCCTATGGAATGTTGAATTGGTCAGTGAGTAGTGAACGAAGCGCTCGACGAATGAACAACCTATGCGGACTGAACGAAACGAACCGACTTCCGTGCGATGACCTATTCACTACTTCCAACACCTCGAGTATCACCGACGATGATTATCGACCAACCGAATTTAGCCGAACGGCTTTTCGTCTGCAGTAACTAATAAATACATTTCCTATTATGTATTTCTGTATACATATGAGTATTTTAACTTCCTAATATTTTATATTAAAATTTGTATCATTTTTTTATCGCTTCCTTTTATAAAATTTTTTAAAAATTTGATTAAGAAAAAGAGATTGATAATTTTAAATATCGACTAATATAGGCTCTCGTTTGATTCTTGCTTACTTACTGGTGATTTTCTCCAAAGCTAGTGAAATTGGCTACCATGTAGTTGAGTAAGAGGTTAGTATAGTAACATTAATATCGATAGTAACCTTTTGCGGATAATTAACGAACATCCGCTGTAAATCACCACTATACCGATAAATTCATCTATGCATTTCACAACTTCAACTGTATTCGACATTTTACTGTGAATCACTATATCCGTAAAAGGTTAATTAAAATACAAATTTGAGATTAAAATAAAGTTTTAAATAAAATTCATTTATTTTATTTCAATAGAGTATTTCATAACATAAAACATGACATGCACATCATTCCGCATTTTTTCTTTTATGTTTCAGAAGTTGTATATCACTTTCATGTTGAAGCACTTCGCTAGCATTGTACAACTGAAAGAATCGTTTTCCGTGTTCAAATGTCGCAATCATAATTGCGCAAGCTGGAGCTACTTTAATTACACGCGGTATTAGACCCGTAAATAATCCTTTCACCCCATTCTGAACATAAATTTTTCGTATTATAGCCCATGTTCCACTACTACGTCCAGGTTTATCTGTAACTTATATTTCTATTAAACTAACATTGTTCTAAATGTCAAAAATGTAAAAAGAAAAACTCAAAAGTTTCTATGATACCTGAATAAATTTCTTTCTCACCCATTTCTATTTGTTTATGTGTTTTCACTACATCAAATGGTATAGTTAAAAATGCAGCTAGCTGTAAAATTATTAGGTATTGGGTACTTTTATATATATTTAGTATAAAAATTGAAGATATGGAAGGTACTTACAGATCCAGCTACAGCACCAGCTATGAAGTTAAAAGTAAAAGTCTGTTGTGTCCCTTGAAATTTTTGTTTTATAGTTTCATAATGTAGCCAATAAATTGCACTAAATGGTACATCACGTAGAAGAGTACTACTTAATCCCATCCATAGACCAGAGACACCACTATATTTTATAACAGTTTTCAATGCTTGAAGAATTTCTTAGAAAAGATACATTACAAATAATTTAAGATGTTATATTACAAATAATTTGAAATATACAAAATAATATTAACACAAAAAATTACCTGCATAACTTAATTTTTGTGACTGCATTTTTGTTCTAATTAATTCTAATGGGCTTACTATTGTTGCAGCCCAAATACGTGCTATAGCCCCAGCCATCATAGGGATCCAAAATGGTTGCTCCATAGTAGCTCCATTAACTTTCCTACATTTGTTATTATACTTATCCTATTGAAATACAAGTAACAAATATTAAGACATAAAGACATTTATACAAAAATAAAAAATTATTTACCTTAAAATATAATCTTAACTGTTCATATGAAACAAAATATACTATAGTTGCAGGTACTGCTAGAACAAGAGTAGGACTTAAACCACTCCATAATGAAAGAATACCTTCATTCTTGCTGATTTTCATAAGAGCATCCTATGAATTTATTATTATATCTGTTTAATCACTAAATTTCATGTTTTATTTAAGCAAAAGTTAAATATGACATACCACTGTGCCATTAAATTTTCCATTCCCTTTCGCCCATATTGGACCTTTTCCATTTAAACAAGGACATAAATGATCCATTAAACCATTACAATAAAGGAAACATTTATTAGAAAGCATAGCTTTCTGTTGTGCTTGAAGCCTAATTTTTACTACATCCAAAGGAGTAACTGCAAAAAAATTTGTAATATGCCCTAATAATTTTTCATATAAAAATGCAAGGTATAAGATAATGATAATAAATCCTACCAAAAATTGATGTAATAAAAGCACCAGTACAAGAAGCAACAATCTGTTGATATGGTTTGATCCTAAATCTTGGATCATCAAGATCAAAATTTGGTGGTATGCTGCTTAACTTATTCATTTCCACTTTTTATTTTGCACTCCACAACATTGAAAAAATTTCGCTTTCACTTTTAATGACATATTTCTTTATAAATAATTTTGTTATCATTCTAAAATTAACAAAACAAATCACATATTTACTAACATGATAAAATTGTTGTTAGTGTTTGAATATCATGTCTATCATCCGATCACGAATAATCTAAAAAATGAAAAACAATTATATATTAGTTATTTATATCATTTTGTTACAATACATTAAAATTCGTAAACTTAAAATTAACGATAACAATAATCTGCATCATGCATTCCAATTTAAGACTTTTCACTAACTTTTTTCTTTTACTTAACACGTGGTCCTAACTTACACGACATTAGATTCTATCATAAAATTACGACTTTGTGTAGAAAAGTCATGAATATATAAGTATCGTGTTATATACTTGTAAATCAGCCTGCAATTAATCGAAAAATAACATTACACTACATACTCAACCATTCAGTGAATGACTCTATGATTGGAAAGTGTAAGAACATCTGATGAATTACAGAAAGCATCTAGGGAGAAATGCTTGTAAATTATTTTTAGTACTAGTTACGTTTTGATTACTTGAAACTAAATAAGTTTATATTTGCTTATGTCTATTTAATTTTATATGAAAGAATAACCAACGAAAATGCATTAATATTTTGATAAAATTGTAAGAATTACTACTTCTTCCAAGTTCGTGAAAATTTAAAAATATATGTTGATATTAAATTAAACAAAAAATTGTCAGATGTAATCGAAATCTTTTTTACCAACAAGGATCAAAACAATACTTTTTATTACAATTCTTATCTTATGGTAAATTTAATTTATGATCAATTCGCGCATGCGTACGAGGTACATTGCGCATGTGTAATTTATCGGTTTGGAGGGGCGTAGAAAGGAGGCCATATTGTACAGTTAAATTGAAAGAACGAAAATAATTATATCATCGTGTGGTCCTGCTTGTTTCATTTCGTATTTTTACCATACATATCCATAAAGGTGTTATACGTCCGTTGTGAGTAGAATAACAGTGTCCGGGGTCCGTTTTGGGGCTCCTACGATTTCTTTTGTAAATAACTACAAGTTGTAGTAGTGTGTCCTGATATCTAGATACCGTCCGTCAGTCTACTAAAGGGGTTTATTGCTCCAGACGAGATGGGCACTCGGGATGACGAATACGATTACTTATTTAAAGGTAAATTTCGATTCGATTTAATCCATTGATACAGCTTCATTATTCGTTTCCTAAATTTAGCAAAAATTTTCTACTCATACACGCATGAACACACAACACTACGAGACACGTACATGTATATACGGCATTTGCATATTCCTGTATACATGTGTACATATATATACATTGTATGTGTATGTGCATACTGCTGTTCATTGTATTATATGTGTATATATAATTTTAAACATCTACGCGTATATGTATCAGTTGAAAATCAACAATTGCCATCGTTCAGTAACATAGCAGATCCCGAATTAACGTCAAATTCTAATTGTAAGCGATGAAACGATTGACAGAGACAGCGTAGGATATCAGACCTAAACGATGACATCAGAGATGGTCTTTCACATATGAGAATTCATCAAATGATTTTTATCAATTGTCAGTCAGGCGGCGTGTATGAAATAGTTACAGTTAATCACATGAGTCAACTATCTAAAGTTATTTATGCTTTATGGCGTGTATCGAAAAACGTTTCTATGTGTAGTACTTTGTGTAGTTCGCAATTATTTATTTTTTTGAATTTTTATTTATAAGTGTTTATAATTTATTTATCGAATATTTGTTTCTTAGAAATTATAATCCGCTGTATAATTTGTTTTTATTGTGTGATTGCCGGTAACTTTACGAAATTTTATTGTTACTTAACTTAAATTGAATGATGAGGTGAAAATTAATAATTAAATTAAAGATATTTTATTATACGATATTATTGTTTGTTCAATTGGAACTTGCTTATTATAATTATATTACATAAATAAATTAAAAAAATTTCAACTGTAATATTTTATTAATGATGAATAGAAAAAATAGTTGGGAAGAGTAGAAATATTTTTTCATTTTGATATTTTATTTATTTAATAAAATATTTCTGTTATTTCAGTTGTTCTTATTGGTGACTCTGGTGTAGGTAAAAGTAATCTTTTGTCAAGATTTACAAGAAATGAATTCAACTTGGAATCAAAATCAACTATAGGAGTTGAATTTGCTACGCGTAGTATACAAGTAGATGGAAAAACTATTAAAGCTCAGATTTGGGACACAGCAGGACAGGAACGTTATCGTGCTATTACATCTGCGTAAGTTGATATTCCTTACTAAAAAAAGAAAGAAAAAAAAAATATTTCTTCATAACTATTAAAATAAAATACTTAAACACCTTAAAGATGATATAACAGTTTATTAATTCTTTTTTATTGACAAATTTTTGATAAATTTTAATTCCAGGTCATCTTTCTTTTTTTATTGATATAAATAATTTTACAAAACATAAATTTATTTTAATTGAAATTCATAGGTACTATCGTGGTGCAGTTGGAGCCCTATTGGTATATGATATTGCAAAGCATTTAACATATGAAAATGTGGAAAGATGGTTGCGAGAATTACGGGACCATGCTGATCAAAATATTGTTATTATGTTGGTTGGAAACAAATCCGACTTAAGGCATCTACGTGCAGTTCCAACTGATGAGGCAAAAGCATTCGCAGAGAGAAACGGCCTCTCTTTTATTGAGACTTCTGCTTTAGATTCTACAAATGTTGAAACAGCATTTCAAAATATATTAACAGGTAAGGAAGTTCTTATTGAAATAATACTAACTATTTATTCTTAAAGTAAAAAGAAATCAAAATATAAATTATTCTATGAAGTTTGTATAAATCATATATATTTAGTTTAAGACAAAATATATTTTTAATAGTATTTAGCTATAATAATTAGTAGATTCAATCTAATTACTTTTGAAATAAACCTCATTCAATTTAATTACCTTCCATCCAAATTTAACCTGAACAAATTGCTTTCTTACTAAATTCAATCAAATCCTATCTAAATTCGATCAAGTTTGATTATTTCTCAATAAAGTAGAGAGCATCTATTCTTTTAACTTTTTGTATAACCATAATATCTACTTACATATTCATATTATTATGTACAGGTAATAACAATTGTTTAAATGAAAATAATGTACTGCATTTTTATGTATGAATTTTTAAAGATAGAGAATCTTCGATTATTACAGAAATCTACAGAATCGTATCGCAGAAACAAATACGCGATCCACCTGAAGGTGATACAATCCGGCCACAAAACGTAGAGCCCATCGACATGAAGCCAACAATGAACTCAGAGGGAATGCGTAAGCAGTGCTGCCAGTGACTCACCTTGCTGCTTAAAATGTGTGTACACGCAAATACAGTATCAATATCACGGGAGTACACTCGAATAATACCAACTTTCTAAGAGAAAAAATTTAGTCTATGGTCCAGTAAAAAAAAAAAAAAAAAAAAAAAAAAAAAAAAAAAAAAAAAAAAA